TCTAGCAGATATTTTCTTTTTTCCCATTTTTAAAAGGTCTTGGCTGGTTAGTTAGCTGTCTCTCTATCTGTCCATCTCTCTTTTAGTTTCCTTCTGTTTAGTGTTTACTCCTCAGCCACCTCAGCTAAATTAAACTGTTTCAAAAACTCTCTCAATCTTCAAGGATTTGCCCCCTGTCATCTTACTGAAATATGACATTGCAGAAACTAAAGTGAATAAGACAGGTTTGATGGTTTTAGATGAGTATACCATGTATCTGACACCTCTGTCTGCTCCCCTGTCACTCTAAACCACACCGGGTCACATAAAGTAGAACAGACACTGCAGCAGTCTAATGGACAGCCTGAGCGTTGGCTTCTATTTGAATTTTACCTTTGAATTAAAAGACAAAAAGCACACCATTCTTTCTGCATGTAGCCTACTGTGCTGCCCAAGACTTCAAATGGCCACTAAATGTTAATTTAATTACATTTTTCAATAGTTTTGGGCCGAGCAGTTAATTTAGAAATAGCAGCACACTCAGACTGACCTAACCCAGTGTGTCACATGCAGTCCAGGCAAATCCCAGCATTTAAAGTGATGAATGTCAAACTTCAGCAGAGGTGATGCAGAAATAGCTGATGACGCTGCTGTCTGCTGGACTGGGGATTCCACTCTGTTGACTGATGCCAGCAAAAAGAAAAAGAGCTTGCTGTGGGTAAAGTGAGAAAAACATCTCGTCTTCATAGCACAGCCGGTCAGATCTGCAGCCCCCCCCCAAGTCGTCTCCCTCCAGTGCTGTCCACAAATACAACTCTGCCCTATCTGCACTTCAATATGTCTTGACATCTGCACTTTTAACAGTCCTCACGGCAATGTTTTCCAGTTTCACACAGACGGCTAAAAATAGAGCTCGAGTTACTCCAGGAGGGAAAGCACAACTGAGAGGCCACTCCACTGAACTGCAGGCGCGTGTGCACGTGTGTCCGCTGACACCTGTAAACGTGTTCGTTTGTGCTGTCTGGATACAGATGTGTCCATGACACGAGATAATGCAAGTATTTGTGTCATATCGTGCCCTTGAGTTGAGTGCTGAAAAGCAAAAGATCTTTCTGCTGTAGTCCAGACTGAATTATCTCTCCAACTTTTGGATGGATTGCAGTGGAATTTGCAGACATTCGTGGTCCCCAGAGGATGAATACTACTGAATTTGATGATCCCCTCCTCCACCATGAGATGGACATTTGTGGTTTTCAGTGAAATATCTCAACGATCATTAACCTTATTGCCATGAGTTTGGTACATTCATGGTCCTCTCAGGATGAACCCTAATCACTTAGGTGATCCTCTGACCTTTTAACTGGCAGTACTTTGGTTTATAACCAAACACCTGCGGAACTGTCATTTTCATTAGCCTCAGTTGTACTTGAACGTAATTGAAATGGCCAACATGGTAAACATTATTACCATCTTGACATCAGCCTGTTAGCATTAATAGTATGAGAATGTCAGCATGCCGAGGTCTGTATTCAGCTTTCATCATGGAGCCGCTAGCGTGGCTGTAAACTCTTGATGTTGTTGAGTGAAGGGAGGTTTGCATTGACTGCTGCACATGCAACATACAGCAGCCCTAGTTATGGAGTTCTTACATGTACTGTATGTCGTGCTATGCTATCGATAACATACACAAACCAAACATTCAAATCAACTGATAATCAAAGTTATTCTTTGATAATTCATACCATTGCCAAGAAACACTGAAGTGTTCCAGTATCTTTAAGAATAAAAGACTCGTACAAGTGTGATTTGATAAAAGCTCGGACAGAAACTCATAAATACTTGAAAACAAAGCCTTTGAATGAGCCAGAATTCTGAGGACTTGGCTTAGATATGAAACAGCTGGCTGCATTACAAAGAGGACACACACTGAAATATTTCTTGCTGATATTTAATAAATCAAATAAATGTTTTCTCGCCAAAATTTTGGTAACTATGAGAACAACTACTGAGGCAAAAACACAGATCGAGGGCTATGAGATCTTAATAGAACAGATGGTTTAACAACCAAGCACATACATGTGTGCCACTGGGCCACAGTAGGTGAAGACGAGATGGCATCTGAGAGAGAGAGAGAGAGAGAGAGAGAGAGGATGAAAGTGGGAGGGAGAAATTGAAGAATGAAAGCACAACGGAAGAAAGCGCCGTCCAAAGGGATGAAAACCCGGCCATTCAAGCATGAGAAGAAAGGAAGATGAGACGGGAGGCACGCTGAATGGCAATAGGTATAGCAGGATTAGTGAGAAGTCACTTGGCTGCACACTGTGTGGAGGAAGAGAGGGAGCCTGAGAGAGGGAGCGAGGATTGCCAGAAGGAGGAGAGAGCCAGGCCGTGAAGAAAAGTAGAAACTAGAAAAGAAGAGGGGTTTAGCAGGTCAAGGGGAGGGCAGGAAGAAACAGGAACGAGAGGAAATGTAGTAAAGAGTAATAGAGGCTGAACCGAGTCAAGTGAGAAAAAAGAATCGGGTAAAGGGAGGTGAGCGGAATACAGGACTTCCTTCTAGTGCTTCTGGTGTGTTTCTTCTACTCGTTCCATTTCATGAGTGAGACTCTTGCTTGTACCTAATTGTTACACACCGCTGACACTCGGCCCTCTCTCTGGAGAAGGCGCCGGAGACTCGAGTCTGTCTGCTGCCTGCTGCCTCCCACATACAAATGTGTCCGTCGGTCTGCTGCACTGGGGTTTGGAGGAACATGGTCACACAGTTTAGATGCAGGGTGAATCGGTTTGAAGAGCTCTGGCATCTTATAGAAATGGGAAGTGGAAATAGAAAACATGCATTTTTTGGGGAAGACAGTCTCACAGAGTCACTGACAAGAGCGGAGCGATCGCTTGGCTTAAGTAAAGTGCTGGTGCAGAATTGGGGAGACGTTTAGCATTTATTATTCATGGTTTATTTAATGGGGACAGATGCATTATACATACAGACTGAAGACAGCCCCGATGAAGGTATCACAGTGTTTATAGTGGCTGCTTATTTGCAACCTCTGCCACTAAAAGAGCTTTTATGAAACCAGGGGATTAGAACATTCAGGTAAAAAGACGGAATACAGCAGGACACAAGTACAGCACACTGTCAAAATGTGAGCACAGGTTTGTTGCTGAATTCATCAGGATTCGGTATCTCTCTTAACAGTAATGGAGGTTGTAGTTATTGGATGGTTCTGAATGAAGTGCTGATGAGGATGTCTTTAGTTTTGGGCCTCATGCAAGAAGCCGCTTGAGCAATCATTTAGGAGAACTTGCTGCATTCCCTCATTTTCTGAATTGAATTTCTGCAAACACAAATTACAAGCGGTCCAGTTTTGTCCTACAGGTCATGTGACATCGTCAGCTGTTTTTCACTAACGGATTGTATATTTCATTACATGGATAATTACCTCATAATTATGTGCATATTTTCCTGTTTCACGCTGCTTTAACGTAGCCTAACGACATTACCATTCATTTACATTGGCTGTTGAATGACGCTACAATATCAATGACAGTTTGACCCTCAGGTCATTAACACCACTTGTTATTTGTCCCCATTCCTTGTCTTCAGCAGGTCCCTTAATTCTGCTGCTGACCCTGTTTAGAGTTGTGGGTTATGCATGAACGGGCATTTTACCTTCACTGCTCATCTGATGGGGATGTAAACACATTTAAATGTCACCGCATGCTCACTATTTCACTTGAAGTCATGTCGAGCTGAATAAATAACATGACATGAACATCTTCTAATACTTTCCGACTGTGTTATAGATTGCATGCTATCTTTGTGAAGCTCACAGTCTTGTATTTTTTTAGTACATGTGTCTGAGAGGTAATATATCTTTGGTGAGTTGCAATATATTGTAAGCTATGTGACAACACTGTAGCATCATTATGGTCCACAGTCTGCCTCCCTTAGTTGTGAATGCATTTCTCCACTCACTCCCTTATTCCACTCTTTATTGGCGGACACATGCACACACTGATTGTGTGAGCACGGCACATGGCGTAAGTCAGCGAAAACTGGGATTTGTGACTCGTGCTCTAATGCTCGCTATTTCATTTCCTGCCCTTGCTTTGAGCGCAGCAGCCGAGCGTCTGCGGTTCACTGTGTGATTCTATTAAGCCGAGACACGAGGCAGGCTGTGCTGATGCATCCAGGGCAGCCATCTCTGCAAAGCTACTTAGAACGGCTCCATAATACCCCAGATGTCATTCCTGGTGTGTGTTTTAATGCGTGAGGCAGAATAGGATCTCTTTGTGTGTGTGTGTGTGTGTGTGTGTGACCTGAACCGCTGGAGGACCCGTCACTGAGAGACCCCAACCAATTGTCTAGTCCATCAAGAAGTATTTCTATGACCCACAGTGTCGAATGTGTCAAACGCTGCCGTAGGATCCGATAACACCAGGACTGTTAGACTACCCGAACCATTACCCAGGCCGATGTCATTCACCGTCTTGATGAGAGCAGGTTCAGCGCTGTGACGTCGAGGATGTCGTTCGTCTGGGAGAGAGGATCGCGTCAGAGCTGCTGTGACAGAGGAACAGAGGATACGACTTCAAATTGTGTGTGTCTTCCTTTATCCATGCATTACTGTGCATTTGCATCTCCAAAGTGCCTGTGTGTGTAGGGGGGGGGGGGGGGAGCACGCTGCCTGGGGGGGTAACCTTAATAGGGTCGGTGCCTTCAGAACCGCTCCTGTCATCTTCACAGAGGACTCTGGCTCCATCGCTGTAATTGCAAAACGCTGTTACAGCTCCCCAAGTGAGCGTGTCACGGGAGACGATGTATATTTTATGGCGGCGCTATACGTGCTCAGGCTGTGTGTGTGCATGTAGTTTCAGCTCCATCACACTACTGCTATATGCACACAGTCTCACGGTGATGTAGTCTGTTTTTCCCTTCTCGTTCTGTTTCCTCCGGCCGTCCTGCAGCCTCGTCCCCCTTTATCTTCATCTCTTCCGTGTCCCTTTTCGTCTCTCTACCCCAGGTGCTGTCTCTGGGCGCAGATGTGTTGCCAGAGTACAAGCTCCAGGCCCCTCGCATCCACAAGTGGACGGTGTTGCACTACAGCCCCTTCAAGGCGGTGTGGGACTGGCTCATCCTGCTGCTGGTCATCTACACCGCCATCCTGACTCCCTACTCGGCCGCGTTCCTCCTCAACGACCAGGTGGGGTCCCATCGAGGGAAAGAGTCACTGACCAGCTTGTTTCATTTCTGTGGGCTTTACGACTCTGTACGACATAAGATCCTTAGAGCAGAACAAAGATACAGAAAGTGATACATGAAGTGATATCATACACCGATGATTTCCACTTCCTTGTGACATGCATCTCTTGTAATATTATAGTCAGTTGTAGCTTTTGTTCTCTCCTGATTAGTGTGTTGAGGCTCCGCAGCCTGGATCCTGCTGAAAGCCCCATTTTTGTGTCACTTCTTCATTGTTTTGTCGACACGTGTATGCAAATGATCCTAAAGCCTTAACTCTACTCTAATCCATTTGAAGGAGGTAATCAGACGGAGCTGTTCTATTTTTAAGGCATTGGCCTATAATTCTCTTCCCCTGTCTTTTCTTCTACTCTCTTCTGTGTTCTCTCTTTCCCTTCCCTTTTCCTCTCCTCTCCTCTTCTCTTCTCTCTCCTCCTCTCTCAGGAAGAGGTAGCCATGCACAGTTGTGGTTACTCCTGCTCTCCTCTCAATGTGGTGGACCTCATAGTGGATATCATGTTCATTATTGACATCCTCATCAACTTCAGGTCTGTCTTTAAACACACGAGTCTACAGTATAGTAGTAGTAGTCACAGTGTAGTCATAGTAAATACACAATGCTGCAGGTCTAATTCCTTGACCCTCATGCTCTGACCTCATCAAACTGTTGTTAGAGCTATCAGTCACAGCATTAGCGAACATAGTAGTGATTATTAAAGTAAATGGTACAAAGTGGTTTTCATAGTTACAGTGTCAAACGTCTTATCAGAACTATTAATGTCAACCATGTTAAAATGATGTGCACTCCTCCTCTCAGGACAACATATGTGAACATTAACGACGAGGTGGTGAGCCACCCGGTGCGCATCGCCGTCCACTACTTCAAGGGCTGGTTCCTCATCGACATGGTGGCTGCTATTCCCTTTGACCTGCTGATCTACCGCAACGGAGAGGAGGTATGTCACCGTGTAGGGAGGGGGGGGGGGGTGTTTCTATACCGCAGGAAAGGGGGGGACAAGACAAGCTGTGGGGAGATGGAGGGATGAAGAGAACGAGAGCGAGATGATGTTGCTGCATTGACATTGTGTCGTTATCAAAAGAGAAGGGTACAAAGAGTGAAGAGGAGGGAGACAGGGAATAAGAGGAAGAAAGAAGAGAGGCAGAGGCACTTTCTGCTTCATCCTTTAATTGTCTCCGTGGGGAGGTGGAGTGTCAAAATATAGCGTGTCTACCTTACGAGATACGAGGCAGTGTACAAAATGATTAAATAATTAATCAAGCGTTGTATTGAGGGAAAATCCTCAACTTTGTTATTGACAAATAAAATTCTCTGCTTCCAGCTTCTCCAGTGTCAGGAGTTTAAGTTTAGGTTCATGGTTCTGTTTAACATCATTGGAAACTGAACAATGACTTTAACTTTGAGTTTTTAGAGTTTGTCGGATAAAACAAACAATTGAAAGACGTACGTTGGAGTCAGAGTCTTGCTTTGTGCATAACTCCTAAGAAGTTTCCTAAGAACTCTGACTTTGTTTAACAAGCACTCCCTCTTCTCTCACTCTACTGAATGTTTGAGACACTCTGTAGTAAGAATCATCATCCACAGCTGAACAGTGGCACAACGGCCATCGTTACATCAATAAGGTGTGACACATTGCATTATGGGATTCTAGAGAGTACATGCCATGGTCACAACTTTGTATTTGTTTTATTCCTGGTGTAAGATGTTTAATGTTAAGATGTTATGCAGAGGATTGTTTTGTTGCTGCTGTTTAAGTTCCTACAGCAGTGCACTGCTTGTTCTGTATTGTTTTATTATGTTTTTATTATGTTGCAAATGCATTCTGTTGAGCAACCTTGTGTTGCACAATGACGATAAATCATCCTTGAAACCTATAATCCTTGAAAGTTTATGTAGCATAACTTTTCTGTAATATAATTCAAAATAGTGTAGGATGCATCGAGTGCACTTTATAGTTAGCAATGAGTGATTTTGGACCCCGCCCATGTCATCTGATATTAACGATAGATAGGATCAGAAGTTATGGACATGTAGAATTAAGAGTTACCCATTCTTCACTATTTTTTAATAAACCAAAGGATGTATCAATAGATTAAGAAGATAATGAGCAGATTAAGTTCAAAGATGAACATCACAGCATGAGGCCCAGATATCCTGACTTTAAGACCCTAGAGTGGGTCGACCTCCACAGATGCTGGATCCTACGATTCCCATGATATGACAGCATCTTTCATCAGACCTTTCCTGAATCCTCCAGTTTGTAATGCAAACTTTCTGTGCAAAATATCTCGAGGCCGATCTGAGTCTTTTTTTCTAACTTAAAGCGGACGTGTCATGGGGTGTATCCTAACGAGCCTGCATGTGACATAGGAAGGGGAGCCAAACCCGACTGGCTCATTGAATCACATGTCTTCTGGTCCAGACAGCCCACAAAACAAACGGTCTGGGTTGTCTTATTTTAGTTTGCGGGTTGGTAGGAACTCCAGATACACAGATGTATGTGTTGCCTTAAAGAAACCTCTGGAGCCACAGAAGACATTACACAACAGCTGATGAGTAAACTGAACTGTGTAAAATCATTCAAGTAAAAATAATCGCTGGCCGCATCCCTAACGCAGTATATATGAGAGGCAGATCCGCAGTGAGACAGTAAGGTCCAGACTGAGGGTCTATGCTTTGCTGAATGATAGGAAAGTGCAGTGATGGAGGCGTCGGTTGGAGAATTTAAGGAAGTGAGAGGCAGGGTGTCTGGAGGAAGAGGCAGGGCAAGTGAGTTAGTAGGTTGCCGGAGCCCTCTGAGGATACTTCCCAGGTAATGAGGATGAAAAGCACGGAGGCCGAGGTCCGTCCCTCCACACAGCAGCTCAGCCCAGGCCGATCCCATTGACAGAGGAAGCACCACTTGGAATGCATCTGTTAGTAATGGGATGTCTGTAGGTAATTCAAAGAAGTGTTATTAATAGAGATTAAGCCCCCCACCAAGCCAGATATGATGAATGTGGAAACTCCCCGACATTGAAATACTGCCCGGGGGGAGCTCTGCCAGGATTCACTTCATAGAGGCCGCAGAGCCAAGAAAGTGGAGATTATTATTTACTGAGAGGACACGCACACACACACGCACGCACACACACACTGAGCAAGACTAGGCTCCCTGCCAGCACTTATTTGTCGTATGGACACGGAGGGGGGGGGGGGGCAGACGAATACAAGTAGAAAGGACAGCCCACAGTAATGAAGTAAAAGTCAGGATTTACCACCTCCGCAACACAGGGCTGTGTGTGTGTGTGTGTGTG